AGAGAAAGAGAATCGCAGGGAAAGAAAGTTAGAAGGTTCTATGAATATTTTTTTTAGACTTAAACAATTTTTACTTACAGCATGTTCCTCTCTTTATCCGTTCCGTAAAGCTAAACCAATTAGTAAAGAAAACAATAGCATATCAACTAATCCAGTAACCTCATCTATTTTAATTCCAAGTGTCTGAATTAAGAGCAATTTAATTCAACAATCAGGCCTTAGGGAACATCTAATGTCAATTATTTTTTTTCTTGTAAGTTTGAAAACGTTTGGTGAATGTGTTTATTGACTGATTTATTCCCCTCTCCGTCTCTCTTGATTTATTTATTTATCTTGTCTTTCTGTGGCTGCTATCAAAACCCTCCGCTGTTTGTTTGTTTTTGTGTTCTCTGTCGTTCCTCATGTTTTTCGAAGACGAAGATATTTTTTTTCTCTTGGTTTTTGATGCCGTTTTCTAGATTACATTGAGCGTAATCTTCTGTTCTCTAGCGGTCTCTAGTGTCGATGTATCATTTCTAGTTAGAGTGATGTCTCATTTTATCCTGTTTTCTAATGCCCATGTCTCTTTTTCCTTGAGCTTATGTACAGTTCTCTTGTGTTCTCTAGCACGAACGCATTTTTTTCACTCTAACTTATCTTCCGTTCTCCAGTTCCGTAATACAAACGTATTCTTTTCCCTTTCGCTTTATCCACTATTCCTCAGTATTATCTCTTCACCATAGCGTTATCAGCCGTTGTCATATGCCTTTCAATACCACCGTATCCTTCCTCCTTTGCTTTATCTACCTCGTTCTCGATTATTCTCTACCTCTCTACCTCTCTTTCCCTTCATCGTTATCACTCCCATATCCCCTTCAATATCACCTCTTCCCCCTTTGCTTTATCCACCTCGTTCTCGATTATTCTCTACCTCTCTACCTCTCTTTCCCTTCATCGTCATCACTCCCATATGCCCTTCAATACGACCATGTCACTCCTCCCTCCTCTTCCTCCTCCTCCTTCTTCAGGTACCAGATTAACGCCCGTACGGAGCTGGCGGTTCGCTACAACGACTCCTCGCCGCTGGAGAACCACCACTGCGCCGTCAGCTTCCGTGTCCTGGCCAATCCCGAGTGTAATATCTTCTCGAGTGTCCCTGAGCAGCTGTTCAAGGAGATTCGGGCCGTAAGTTGGACGTCCTCGAGGCAGTTTAACGAAAAGGGGGGGGGGGGGAGTTGTATGGAATGATATAAAGTCATGAACGTTGATGATTAATTGGGAGGAAGAAGAAAAGATATATTGAGATGGTGGGAGGATGGTGAATGTATAAAAATGAGACAGATTAAGACGAAAAAGAATATTTCAAAACATATAAAGAAAAGAATGTTTGGTAATTAACTAGGAAGAAAAAAAATATTTGGATAGTGGAAGGAAAATTAGTGATGTAAAGACGAACACAAAAAATGATACTAAAATGAAACTAAAATTTAAAAATCAACATACATAAATAAAGGAGAAAATAGGGGAAGACACAATTAACAAGAAATCTGAAAAAAAAATTAAAAAAATGAATGCATAGTGAAAACAAGAGCAAAAATCCCATGACGAAAAAAAACAGTAAAAGTAATCAAAGAAACAAAGGGACACCCGAATGGTAAAACACCAGATAGAAATGAAAATATAAGAAATGGGAGATACAATAATTTAATAAAAAAAAAAACATAAATAAATAAAATATTGTAATAAAAAAACTATTGCTCATCTCAATTATGTTTATAAGTGTGATACAGTAACCTCGTATTTTTTTATGTTATATCATTAGCTTTAGTGTATATATCTAAAAATATACTTCTTCGTTGTGCACATATATTAGTAATAAAAATACAGAAATATTATTAAACTGAATATAGAGACAGATGTATATGATAAAAAACAATACTCACATGATTGACACTAGAGTCTCGCTTAAGGAAATCTTTAAAGTATGCCTATCTCTCCTTTTTATCTCGCTCTTCCCCTAAACGCTCTCTCTCTCTCTCTCTCTCTCTCTCTCTCTCTCTCTCTCTCTCTCTCTCTCTCTCTCTCTCTCTCTCTCTCTCTCTCTCTTTCTATCTCTCTTTCTATCTCTCTCTCTCTCTCTCTCTCTCTCTCTCTCTCTCTCTCTCTCTCTCTCTCTCTCTCTCTCTCTCTCTCTCTCTCTCTCTCCTTCCCCTTTCTTCTTTCCATCTCTATCCCAAATAATCTCTCCATCACCATCTCCCTATTCCTTCAAACTCTTTTTCCTTAACCCCTTTCTTCTCTCCTCCCCCTCTTTCTTCTCTTTCCCCCCCCCATCTCCCTCCCTCCCTCCCTCCCCCCCCTTCCTCTCTCTCTCCCCCCACCTCTTCTCATTTCCCCATCTCTCTCTCTCTCCCTCCCTCTCTCCCTCCTCCCCCTTTCTTTTTTTTTCCATTTCTCTCCCAAATTATCTCTCCTCCTCCCTTTCTTTTTTTTTCCATTTCTCTCCCAAATTATCTCTCCCCCCTCTTTCTCCCCCCCACCTCTCTCACCCTCTCCCTCCCTCCCCAGGACATCATCATGCTCATCTTGGCAACTGACATGATGAGACACTCGGAGATAGTCGACGACTTTAAGAAGAAGCTGGAAAATTTCGATTATAAGAATCCTGACCATTTAAGCGCACTCAAGATGATACTCATTAAGGTATGAGATTATGAGGGATGAGGAGGTGTGTATATAGTTATTAAAGGTGTGAGATTATGAGGGATGATGAGGTGTGTATATAGTCATTAAAGGTATGAGATTATGAGGGATGAGGAGGTATGAGATTATGAGGGATGAGGAGGTGTGTATATAGTTATTAGAGGTGTGAGATTATGAGGGATGAGGTGTATATAGTCATCAAAGGTGTGAGATTATGAGGGATGAGGAGGTGTGTATATAGTTATTAGAGGTGTGAGATTATGAGGGATGATGTGTGTATATAGTTATTAAAGGTGTGAGATTATGAGGGATGAGGAGGTGTGTATATAGTTATTAAAGGTGTGAGATTATGAGGGATGAGGAGGTGTGTATATAGTTATTAAAGGTGTGAGATTATGAGGGATGAGGAGGTGTATGTAGTCATTAAAGGTGAGAGATTATGAGGGATGAGGAGGTGTGTATATAGTTATTAAAGGTGTGAGATTATGAGGGATGAGGAGGTGTGTATATAGTCATTAAAGGTGTGAGATTATGAGGGATGAGGAGGTGTATATAGTTATTAGAGGTGTGAGATTATGAGGGATGAGGTGTATATAGTCATCAAAGGTGAGATTATGAGGGATGAGGAGGTGTATGTAGTCATTAAAGGTGTGAGATTATGAGGGATGAGGAGGTGTGTATATATAGTTATTAGAGGTGTGAGATTATGAGGGATGAGAAAGTATATTCAGTTATTAAAGGTATGAGATTATGAGGGATGAGGAGGTGTGTATATAGTTATTAAAGGTGTGAGATTATGAGGGATGAGGAGGTGTGTTTATAGTTATTAAAGGTGTGAGATTATGAGGGATGAGGTGTGTATATAGTTATTAAAGGTGTGAGATTATGAGGGATGAGGTGTATATAGTCATCAAAGGTGTGAGATTATGAGGGATGAGGAGGTGTGTATATAGTCATTAAAGGTATGAGATTATGAGGGATGAGGAGGTGTGTATATAGTTATTAAAGGTGTGAGATTATGAGGGCTGAGGAGGTGTGTATATAGTTATTAAAGGTGTGAGATTATGAGTGAGGAGGTGTGTATATAGTTATTAGAGGTGTGAGATTATGAGGGATGAGGAGGTGTGTTTATAGTTATTAAAGGTGTGAGATTATGAGGGATGAGGAGGTGTGTATATAGTCATCAAAGGTATGAGATTATGAGGGATGAGGTGTGTATATAGTTATTAAAGGTGTGAGATTATGAGGGATGAGGTGTATATAGTCATCAAAGGTGTGAGATTATGAGGAATGAGGAGGTATATATATAGTTATTAAAGGCATGACGCGTGCGGGAGGCCTCATACTCATGGAGGATATGAGATGATGGTGAGGGATGATGTGTGTGTAAGTGATGATGAGTATAAGGTGATTTTAATAAATGTATGTGTGGGGGTGATGAGGTGCAGTAATTGCCTTATACTCATTAAGGTGAAAAAAAATGTAGGATAACTGATACTCGTTTAGGTATGAGGTGATGGTAAGAGATGAGGCGTGTGAGGTATGAGGTATGTGTGAGTGATGAGGTGTGTTAGATGACTTATGTTCATTAAAGGTGTGAGAGGGATGTGGTAATTGCCTTATAATCACATTAATTAGGAGTTGACGCGAAGGAATGACGTGTGGTGAAAGCCTTATACTCATTATGGTATGAGGAGGTAGTGGGTAAAGGATAAGGAGTGTTTCGTGAGTGTTACGCACTGAGGTATGAGGTATGTATGTAATAAGGAGTATTGGATGACTGATACTCACTAAGGTATAAGTTTTTCGTGAGAGATAATGAGGTAGATGAGGTAGATGGTATTGTCTATCGCGAGGGAATAATAGATGTGTTATACGGAGTTCGATTCGTATTAAATATCCACATAGACATTGTTTTCCTATCGTGGGAATTTCGCAGCCATGGTGGGAAGAATGACTTAACTACTCCGTTGGTCGTTTGGCGGTAGTTAAGCAGTTTCTCTCTTTTCCCATCCATTCACTTTATTTCGTATTTATTTGTTTGTATGTTTGTTTGTAGTGGGTGTTTACGGCAGACGGTACACATTTTATTTTTTTACTGTGCAATGTTAGATTATGATAATCTGTTGTACTAAAATATCCTCATAGGCGGACATAATTTTTCCTTGATGATATTTACACTAAATTATATATTATAGATAACTTATACTATAAATTAACGTTAAATGACACCGCAAACCAAACTGTCAAATAAAATAAACACTTGCGTGAAATAACAAATATTTACGTGAAAATAATAAGGTTCAACCAGCTGTCAGTACACCACGGCGTCCAGGTCACTTCTGCCTTATCACCTTGTAGAATACGTAATAATATTTAGAACAATTTTAACATGATTATAATTTTACAGTATTTTTGCTAAAATGAAGCATAGAGACGACAAAATCATTCCATAAATAATATTTTAAATATCTGAATGCCAAACGAACCAACCAGCAAGCACGCACATTACCACCTGCCAAAGAAAACGGGAATCTTTCACCTCAAACTTAAACAATTTACTTTAATGCCCCGCTTGGTTGTTGGGTTTTTGTGAAGAAAGGACTATATGTGACCTTGTGAGTAATGAGTATGTTACAAGTGAGTTCAAAATGGCAGTTTTTATTGTCTGGTATGAGGTATGAGGCGCTGGTATTATAATGTGTGCATATGGATTAGTAAGTGGTAATTGTTATATTGCTACAGTTAAATGGATGTAAGTATAATATTGATTTGTTACATTAAATATATCCTATCAAATTCTTAGATTTTATTGATTATGTATGGTCATGTCGGACAAATTCATTAAACTGGTTATATGATTTCAATAAACTGATCTGTTAGTTGGATATTCAGGAAAAATAATACCGTTAGACATGATCAGTTAAACAATTTGGATTTAGGATAATCTAATTTTCTCCTATTCCCTCCCTTTCTCCCTTCTCCCTTTCCTCCCTCCCTCTCTTCCTCTCTCCTTCCCTTTCCCCTCCTCTCCTCCTTCTGTCTGTCTTCTCCTTTTTCTTCCCTCCTTCCTTTTCTCTCTCCCTTCCTCTTTTCCCACTCATTCTCTTTCCTCCCGCCCTTCCACTCCTTTTCCTCCTTCCCTCCTTCCCTTCCTCCTCCCCTTCCCACTCTTTCCACTCATTCCCTCCCTACCACTTCCTCTCCTCCCTCCCTGCTTCCCTCCCTCTCTTCCATTCTTCCACTCCCTCCCTCCCTCTCCTTCTCCCTCCCTTCCATTCCCTCTCTCTCCTCCCTTCCACTCCCTCTCTCTCCTCCCTCTCTCCCTCTCTTCCACTCCCTCCCGCCCTCCCTCCCTTCCTCCCTCCCTCCCTCCCTCTCTGCCTCTCTTCCACTCCCTCCCTACCTCCCTCCCTCCCCCCCCTCCCTCCTCCCTCCCTCCCTCCCTCCCTCCCTTCCCCTCCCCTCCTCCCCCTCCCCCCCCCAAGGCGTGTGACATCTCCAACGAGGTGCGCCCATCCAAAGTAGCTGAGCCTTGGGTTGACTGCCTACTGGAGGAGTACTTCAACCAGGTCAGATTTCACGTTAGATTTTCGAGGATTTGTTTATCAGTCTGTGGGTGGATTTTGTTTGTTTGTTTGGTTGTTTGTTGAATTTGTTTGGTTCTTAGTCAGGGGGTAGAGAGGTTTAATCGTGTCTGTTTAGGGGTAGAGTTTATTCTTTTATTGAATTTGTTCTTAATCAATGGGTAGAGTTTATTTGTTTATTTGTTTATTGGATTTGTTTGGTTCTTAATCAACGGGTGGAGTTTATTTGTTTATTTGTTTATTAAATTTGTTTGGTTCTCAATCAATGGGTAGAGTTTATTTGTTTATTTAATTTGTTTGGTTCTCGATCAAAGAGTAGAGTTTATTTGTTTATTTGTTTATTGAATTTGTTTGGTTCTTAATCAATGGGTAGAGTTTATTTGTTTATTTGTTTATTTATTTTTTTGGTTCTTAATCAATGGGTAGACGTTTAATCGTGTCGGTTTATGGGTGGAGTTTATTTGCTTATTTGTTTATTGATTTTTTTGTTTCTTAATCAATGGGTAGAGTTTATTTGTTTATTGAATTTGTTTGGTTCTCAATCAATGGGTAGAGTTTACTTGTTTGTTTGTTTATTGATTTTTGGGTTCTTAATCAGTGGGTAGAAGTTTAATCGTGTCTGTTTATGGGTAGAGTTTATTTGTTTATTTGTTTATTGAATTTGTTTGATTCTCGATCAGTGGGTAGAGTTTATTTGTTTATTTGTTTAATGATTTTTTTGTTTCTTAATCAATGGGTAGAGGTTTAATTTAATTAATGACCTTGGTAGGCTCCTTATCTTGGTTTATTTATGATGAGATTTGATGTGATTTGTGAAGAGAGTTTTCAATCATGTTACATCTAGGTTGAGTTAACTGGGTTTAGTTATTTCGTTTATCAATGGATGGGGAGAGTTTTAGCCTTTGTATGATCTTAGCGTGATTATTATTCTTTTTATTCCTTCAATTTGTTTAATAATATAGATAATGATACAAATAGTAGAGGCAGTTCTAGCATTATAAATAGAAGTAATAGGCATGATGGAATGATAGTGGTGATATTGAGCTTATTTTTTTAAAGTTACGTAAGTGAAATCGATCTAGATTTAATCGCAAAATGAATACATTGACGAAACAACAATTTCGAATTCCCATTAAAATGGTTGATTCCCTTATCTTATCTTATGTAGTTCATTTCAGTTTTTTTTTCAGTTTTTTTAAGTTTTGGTCAGTCTATGTATCTTTTTATTTAATAGATTTTTGTATATGATGACCAATTTAAGTCTGTCTTTCTTTTCTTTACCTATTTTAGCTTTGATAATTTTTACCTTTGTTGTTAATTGGTCGTTTTGTTCAGTTAAGAGAATTACTTGATGAAACGCTATTTTCTTTTTGTTTTCGTTATTTACTCATTTATCTGTTTTATTTTGTATGTATATTGATATTCATATATTTCAGCTGAATGATTCACAAAGGCTTTTGATTGCATTCTTATCATATTATCTTCGTTTTCCCCTCTTTCTCCCTGCTCCGTTCCTTTCCTTTATTCTTCCCTTCCTTTATTCTCTTGCATCCTTATCCTTCCCCCAACTTTTCCCTCCCCATCTCTGTCTCCCTCGCTTCTTCATCCTTACTCTTTCCTTCCCTCTCCCTCATTTTGATCTTCCTCTCCTATTCTTTTCCTCCTCTCCACTTTCTATCCCCCATTCTCCTCTTCCTCTTTCCCCTTTTCTCGTCTCCCTTCTCTGTCTTTACTTTATTTAAAATTTCATTCTCCTTCCCCCCCCCCCTTTTTTTCTCGTCTTCCTTCTGTCCTTACTTTTTTTTTCATTTTCACTCCCCATCCCCCCCCCACCCCGCTTCCCTTATCCTCTCCTTATACCCTTTTTTTCTTTCATCCCTTCCCTTTCCTCCCCTGTTTTCCTATTTTCCCTTCCGAAACTATTTATCGTCGTCCCCCCTCCCTTCCCTTTACCTTCTCGTCAATTCCCTTTTCCTTTCCTCTTCTCCGTCGCTTCTTCCCCTTTTCCTTCCTCTCTCCCCTCCTCTTCTCTATCATCTCTCCTCCATTCCCCCTCCCTCCTTTCTCTATCATCTCTCCTCCATTTCCCCCTCCCTCCTTCCCTCTTCCTCCCCCCCACCCTCCCTCCCTTTCTTCCTCCCTCCCTCCTCCCTCCCTCCCTGTCCTCCTTCCCTCCCTTTCCTCCATCCCTCCCTCCCTCCCTCTTCCATCCCCCTCTCATTTCCTCCTTCTCTTTCTCCTCCCTCCCTCCCTCTCCCTCCCTCCTTCCCTCCCTCCCTTCCCTCCCTCCTTCCCTCCCTCCTTCCTCCTCCCCACCAGGCCGAGACGGAGAAGCAGGAGGGCCTCCCCGTGGCTCCCTTCATGGACAGGGACAAAGTGACCAAGGCTTCGGCACAGATCGGGTTCATCAAGTTCGTGCTCATTCCGCTGTTTGAGATCATTGCCCAGCTCTTCCCGCAGGTGAGGGGTGGGGAATGGGGGTTTGGGGTTGGGGGCTGGGTGAGGGTGGGGATTGAGGGTTTGGGGAATGGGGTGGGGATTGGGGGTTTGGGGTGAGGGTGGGGGGATTGGGGGTTGGATGAGGGTGGGGGGTTGGGGGTGTTGGGGGTTGGTGAGGGTGGGGGATTGGGGGTTGGGTGAGGGTGGGGGTTGGGGGTTGGGTGAGGGTGGGGGGTTGGGGGTTGGGGACAAGGGACTGGGGTGGGGGTTGGTGGTTGGGTGAGGGTTGGGGGTTGGGGGTTTGGGGAATGGGGTGGGGGTAGGGGGTTGGTTGAGGGTGGGGGGTGGTGAATGGGTGAGGGTTGGGGGTTAGAGATTGGGAAATGGGTGATGGTTGGAGAATGGGGAATGGGTGTGACTTAAGGAAAGGGGAGTAGGTGAGGGTTGGGGAATGGGATGAGGATTTGGGAATGGGTGAGGGTTGGCTGGGGATTGGGACTGGAGGGGGAGACGGGGAGGGGGGAGGAGAGCAAGGGAGGGATAAGGAGAGACGGAGAATGGAAAGGAAAGAGAGAAGGAGGAAAGACAGAGAGCTAAAACAGCCAGTCCTAAAGCCAGCCCGAGACAATTAACGAGAATGAAATACCTACAGAGACATTTTCTTAACGCTAATGAATACCTAGGCTCTCCATATCCCCTGCTGTATTTCCCAAGCCCATCGTTAACACCTCTTCCGGATCATCTCCAGGCGGAGGAGGTGCTGGTGGTGCCCCTGCGCAGCGCCCGCGAGCACTACGAGCAGCTGAAGGAGCAGGAGGAGGATATGCGCCGGCTGAACCAGAACAAGAGCATCGCCTAGCGCCGGGACGTGTCTCGTGGGGACAGCCGGAAGCCGCGGGCGTCGGACGGCGAGAGGGACCAGTTCCACCACGGCAGCAAGGGCTCCATCCAGCGGTGGGCGTCCAGGCCCATGATCCTCTGACCTGCGAGCGGCCCTTCGTCGGCCCCGTCCGCCCACAGCCCTCGGGAGAGCTGAAGGAGAAGGAGGAGGAGGAGGAGGAGGAGGAGGAGGAGGGAATGATGGTTGTGGTAGGCGGTGCGGCCTAGCTTCTATTTTTTTTTCTTTTTTTTTTGAGGATTATCCCCCATGAGACGATTTCCCGATGATGACTAATGGAGTTTATTTTCTTTTTTGAGAGAATTGGCTCCATGATGATGATGACTGACTGGTATGATGACTAACTCCCATGAAATGATATCTGCTGTATGTGATGACGACTCCCATCTGTGTG